CGGCAATCTTGAACCCAAACCGTAGGATCGAGAACACGCATGTTCGTGCAGCCAATCAATAGTGGCATCCAAGTTTCGACGAACCTAGTAGTAAAAATACCACTGATAACAGCAACTGAGAGACGTAAATGTCTACTAGTGGAAATGACTGATAAACAGAAATTTGCGAAGTTGATCTCACTTCTTCCGTGTAGGTATTCAACTGAGCCAATGCCTTTTTCGTTTCTTTTTTCCACTGTTCGTCACCATAATTCAGATACCTGAATGATATTCAACAAATGATATCCAACAAATGAATGAAAAAACAAACAAATGATACCCTCCAACCCTTAAAACTTAAAGGTAAGAAATGTATATGACTTAATGGACCGAAACATTTCTTACCTAATTTATTACTTCTTTTCACATCTTTCCCTTTTTAACTCTTTTTTGACCTTTTCTATCATCCACTTCTACATTTTTCGCCGAAATTTTCACTTAACCTTAAAAAATTCTGCTGTTCCGAATTTCCTTTGGCTATATGGCAGTCACTTCGGCAGGTATGATTCGGCTTCCCAACGGCCGTAAATAAACACTTGACACCTTTACCTTCTTCTTCCGCCCTAATTAAATCGTCCAATTCTTGGTTCAGCCTTCTACGTGCCCCCTAACACAGTTTTGAACTATGATCCTTTAGAACGACAATAACTGCAAAATCTAAGCACAAATATTCTTACTCTTATAAAACCTAGACAGCACTAAAACAGTCCCTCCCTCCCCTCACCCTTCCTCCCCTTTTTCCCAATAATCAAATATTTTAGAAATGAAGTACTACTTGGTATGGCTAGTAAATAACTGGCAAACGCACGAGCTGCCCGAGCGAAGATGCGTTTTTTGCATAGTTCCCCACAGATTTCTGTCGCTAACGGCACTGATTTTTCCGGCAGATGCTTCCAACTAAAAGAATTTCTGACTGGCCGCCAGAACTGTCAGGAAACATCCCCTCAAAATCCCAGTCTTCTAGCTTCTCATGTTCTCGAGTTAGCAACTTACCCGGAAGAAACTTTCACGGGCCTGTACGTAGGTACCACGCTTACCCGTGGGTAGAGTTTGACTGGATAATACCCACTTGGACAGGGAACATTCCCCTAACATTTTAGTGTTCTAGCTTTTCAGATCCCCGAGTTAAGAAATTACCCCAAAAAACTTTGGCTGGCCCGTACGCGGCTACCACGCGGGTGATTGCGCCCATTTTGGGGATTGGGGGCGGTAGGTGCTTGTAGATTAAGTTCCCGAAATTTTAGCCCTGCAGTTTTTATAGGTCTTGAGATGAAAGTGCGTAAAAGACGCACAGGCACACAGATACACGGATACGCAGACAATCTCTCGTCAATATGCGTTTTTCGCATTGCATTGCTCCAAAAAACGCATAAAAAGTCTTACATGCGTTGTATGATCCTTCAATGCGTTAACTAGCAGACCAGAGATTTTTGTGCTCTACATCTAGTCTTTTATGACAGTATACTCCAGAGTATCTAGCTACTGCAGCTACAAGGAGCTTCATTTACTGCTAACTTTCTGCGAATAATAGCGCCATATATATTAGCAATGATACTTACCATTGATCACATAGTGCAACGACACACTCATCGCCCGAACGCGAGATAACTTTCTTCTCCGGTTCCACATACAACAGAGCCTGCCCGCATTCAATTAAATCGACCTGTATTTTTTTCTTCACAACAGCAGTTTTTTGACCCACGTATTTGCCAACCAGCATCACCTACAATCATCTGTAGAAGCTGAGCTGAACTGAGCTAGAAAGGCACGTCTGCAACTACTACAACACTTACGCCATCATAGAATCCTTTCAGGTAAACTTCTTTCTTTGCTTCTGCCAACTTCTCACGCTCATTTTGGCTCTCGATTTTCAATTTCTGGCATAAATGAACAGCTGCTAAGTCACCATACACCGGAATGTTCATTACGACAACCTGCAAAACAGTACAGTCTCACAAAAAGCCGATAGTAATATTCCTGAGTAAGAATCAATCACTGGCGACACGCACCGGGCAGGCCTCTGTGTTCATGCGTTTTTACAATATTTGGTGCTATGATGAAATCGCCCGGAAACGCACTAGCCAGAATGTGAAAAATACCGGTGCTCGAAGCCAGAGAAGTTAATTATTACGCGGTAATTGGTGAGGAACATCCCATTAAAATCTCAGCTTTCCAGCTTTGCTAATTCCCGAGTTAGCCACTGCCTCGCCAAAAATTTCCGTGAGGACGTACTTGGGAACCATGCATAGAGAGAGAGGCAAAATTCAGTAGCTTTAAGCTGTAAATGTGCTGGGAATATTTTCTGAAAATTTCAGCCTCCCAGCTTTCCCGGTTCCCGAACTAGCCATTTTCTCGCCAAAAATTTTCGCGAGGCCGTACGTGAGAGCCACACATGTCTGACGCCTGAATTTGATAAATTTCAGTTGTATATGAACTGAGAATATCCCCTTAAAATTCCAGCTTTCTAGCTTTCCTGGAGCCCAAGCTAACGACTTTTCCGCCAGGAACCTTAACGGGGCCGTACGTGAGAACCACGCATGCCTGGAGGCAGAATTTGAAATCTTTGTGTTCTATGTGGACGCGGAACATAACTGCAAAGTTTCAGCTTTTTAGCTTTTCTAGCCCCCGAGTTAGCGATTTTCCCACCAAAACTTTAAGGCGCTTGTGCGTGGGGTCTAGAAATGCGTGAGGGCTGGTGCCGCGGTCCTAGGGTGGCACTCGATCGGGGAACTCAGTGGCAAAATTTTGGCCCGGAGCTTGCTTGAAATACCCGGACAGACGCGCATACACACACACACACACACACATACACACATATACATACACACACGCATACTGGGGTCGTCACAATATGCGTTTTTGCATTTGCATATAGGCGAAAACGCATAAAAAGGTGGACTATATAACTTACAGGTTCATATGGTAGCACCATTTCATCTTTTATGCCAAACTTTTCACGCAAAGCTTTCTTTTTCTTCAAGTCCATTAGTGCTGCATAATCGTCCGGTGAATCGGATGGAACGCTTGTTACAATGCCTGTGCCTAAATACCACCTTTAAACCTGCAGGGACAAACGCTGCTCGTGCTCTGTTTTATTTTTTCAACTACTAAAGAAACATCGGGGGCTGAACTCGATGCTTTTCACCGGGCGAATATCAGTTGTTCAACCCGTATAACCAAGCAATACTGAGTGAATTATCCAAAAGGGCTGTTGCTGGCTAAAATAATCTCTTAAGTGGCAAAAATCAGATATTTGCAGTACGATCAATGATCTAAAATGAAATGAATCATCCGGGCCGAACAGCTTCTTGAATTCGACGAATTCAACACACTCGCATTAATTTTTCTGTGGCACACAATGAATCAACAGGACGCCTCGTTCTGGTCCAGGAAAGGCGACATTCGGAATGAAAAGGGGATGCCCTAAGTATACCAAGAACACGTGGAAAAGGCTAGGTTTGTCGAGCGAATTTTAGGGCGATAATTAATTTAAGAAAAGATATGAATGTTAAGATCATCAAGCGAGGCAGTAGTCGGCGAAGCAACTTGGAAAAGCTAACAGCTGCATAGTCGGAGGATCAGATTATAAATTAACAGCTGTTCTAAATATTCCAAGTATGCACTGAAAAAAAAAACTAACGAACCTTTGTCATCTTTGATGGTTAGCATTGGCAGCGCATAGATGCGTTCA